AGGGAATGCGAAACTGATGCAAGATAGAGGAAAATTTGTAATTATTTTTTTTTATGTTTTTCTCTTCTTTTGATATAAATACTGTTGCTTAAAAAACAAGAAAGTCTCCTTTAAGTAACATAAACTTGTTATACCTCTGCCTGTTTAGCTCTTCGTGTGTATATGTATGCATGTGCATGTCTATGTGTGTGTGTGTGCCTGCGTTTGCTCAAAGTTGCTAGCACATTGACAGGAAACACATAGAGGTCTAATGGCACTTAAACGGTAGAAAAACTATAATGTATACAAACAGAATAACGATATGAGATTGTTGCTTGGACACTGCAGAGACACGGAGACAGAGCGAGATAGACATAGAGAGCGAGACGGAGTCTGCCAGCACAGAAACTTTGCAGACACGCAGCGAAAACTTTTGGCGTACCTGGCGAGTGCGAGTAGTTGAAGATGCGTGTGCCGAGTCTTATTGATGGGCGGACGATGGAAGACAGCCAGCTAGCTAGCTGTATATCTACAGCCTTATCCAGTGATATGTCAACTGTCAACTGCTGTCAATTCTTAATTAAATGTATACCGGCAACTAGGTGACCAGCAGCTGTGCCTAAGCACACTTGATTTATATGAGCCAGTCAGCTGGACGCCGCCTGTCACACACTGTAGTATTCGAGGAAACACAGCTCCAGTCCACAGATACTTTGTAATGGGCGCTGCTCCAGCTACAACTCTATACAGGCTCATACAAGTGTATATATGCACATATAAATGAGATGTCTCATACATAACGATGTGTCTGGAATACCCAATTGTCCTGTCGTGCGGAGTACAGGATATTACTAAAATGATACGCAGCAGTTCTGTGTGTGGTTGCCCTATGTTAATACTGGAATTGCTCTGACATTTTTATTGCTCGTTACTAATAACTTAATTGACATGTTTGATTGCATGTTTGTGCGTGTATGAGTGTGTGTAATTTATGTGCGGTTGTCTGTGTGCTTTCTATGTAATTTGCCCAATTGCTCATTTAAATGCTGTAGTTAAATGCCTTTGTAAAAGTAAAAATATATAACATTTGCATAATTCCTCACTCTCTGTCTCTCTCTCTCCCTCCCTCTCACTCTCCCTGTATGCGTGGCCGTTGATGTGCTTTTAGTTTCGAATTTAATCTTGAGTTATGCCCAGAATGTTGAGTATATCAAGGAATATGTTGATGATATCCAAGTAGAGATTGAGCGTAGCGAAAATGTATTCCTCGGGGCTAATCGCATACTTGTGAGTGCCGCCCATCATTAGCTGAGTATCGTAGACCAGATAGATGGAGAAAAGCACGGCGCCGGCCGATGAATACAACAGTGATATGATTTTGCCATGCATGAAGATGGTCAAGAAGCCAAAGAATAGGAGGGCCACCAAGCAAGCAATCAGAATGCCGCCCATCATTGTGAAATCGTATTTGGTCTGAAAGGCGAACAGCGTCAGGGCCAAGCAAATGGCGGCTGTTATGCCAATTGCAATTAGCACCTCCTTGGGAGCGAAGCGACTGGCCGCGACTCCAAGCAGAAACGATTCAGCGACAGTGAACATGCCCAGAAATATGAAATTGGTGGGCGTCTCGCGGCGCACCCTCTCGCAGCAGATCATGGACAGCATGGTCAGCAGCATGATTCCGATAGCCACCCAGAAGAGCCACAGATGCTGGGCCGCAAAGTTCTTGGCGTCTTCGCTGTACACAAACACAGCCACGGCCCCGAATGTGATCACCAGCTGGCCCAGGAGTATCAAGTACACCTTGCGTATGAATCCACGGCGTATGGTCTCATTGTCAAAGCTCAGACCCTTCGCCTGGGCCTCAGCATCGGAGCCATAGCCAATAGCGACATTCACTTCAGGCCGACTGTGATAGACAGCGTATGGATATTGTTGACCGCAGTCATTTGATGCCATGTCCTCGGTTAGCCAAAGATCTTGAGCCCAGTTGGCAAACGATGAACTGTGCGGAATATCTGAGTTGTTTTATAAAAAGCTAGATCGTCGACCACTTGCGAATCGTTGAAAGATATTTGTAGCTTATAGGAAATCGTTGAGCAGTAGATTAAAGAATTTCACTTGCTTTTTATCCTATGAAATTCAGTTTGAAATATTATTATCAAATAC